GGTGTGAACCAGAGAGACAGAGCTTGCAGTGAGCCAAGATCATGCCACTGCACTCCAGCCTGGGTGACAGAGTGAGACTCCATCTATAAAAAAATACAAAAAAACAAAAAAACAAATTACTTTAAGTGTAAATGAACTACATTCATCGATCAAGAAATATAGAATAGCTGAATGGATTAACTTAAAAAACAGGGCCCAACTGTATGCTGACTCCCAGAAACTTCCTTCAGTTTTAAGGACACACACAGACTGAAAGTAAAGGACTGGAAAAAGATATTTCATGCAAATGGAACAAAAAGAGTGCAGTGGTAGCTCTATTTACATCAAACAAAACAGACTTTAACTCAAAACCTGTAAAAAGAGACAAAAAAGGTCATTAGATAATGATAAAGTAGCCTATTCATCAAGAGCCCATAAAAATTGTAAATATGTGTGACCTAACATTGAAGCACTTAAATATATAAACCAATTATTAAATGATTTTTAAGGGAGAGATAGCCCATAATACAATAATAATAGAGGACTAGTCCACTTTAAACAATGGACAGATTATCCAGAGAAAAATAAGGAAACGTTGAACTTGAATTACATGTTAGACCAAATGAACCTAATAGACACATAAAGAACATTTTTTCTAACAGTAGCAGAATACACATTATTCTCAAGTGCACATGGAACATTATCCAAGATAAACACTATGTTAGGCCACAAAACAAGTCCTAACAAATTTAGGACAACTTAAATCATATCAAGAATCTCTTCAGGCCACAACAGTAAGAATCAATAATAGTAGGAACCTAGAAAAATTCACAAGTATGAGGAAATTAAATAACATATTCTGGAACAATCAATGGGTCAAAAAAATCAAAATGGAAACAAAATAAATCTTCAGGTGAACAAATATGAAAATACAACATGGTAAAATCTATAGAATGCAGCAAAGCAGTGGTAAGAGGGAAGACTACAGTGATAAATGTCTACAGTAAAAAAGAAGGAAGTTCTCAAATTAACACCCTAAATTTACAACTCAAGGAACAAGAAGAACAAACTAAACCCAACGTTATTGAAAGGAAGAAAATAATAAAAATAAGAGCAGAAATAAATACAGGATAGAAAGAAACTATTAAATAATCAACAAAATTGAGTTAACGTTTTTGAAAAAATAAACAAAACGTACAAACCCTTAGCTAGACTATGAAAAAAGAGAGAAGACTCAAATAAGTAAGGTCAGAAATGAAGGTAGACACATTACAACTGACATCTCAGAAATAAAAAGGGCTATAAGTGACTATTATGAACAATGATATGTCATCAAAATGGATACCCTAAAGGAAATGGATAAATTCCTGGAAACGTACAACCTACCACAATTAAATCAAGATAAAATATAAAGCCTGGACAGGTCATTAACAAATAAAGAGACTGAAATAATGATTTAAAATGTTAAAAATGATTTTTCAGGCTGGGCATGGTGGCTCACACCTGTAATCCCAGCACTTTGGGAGGCCAAGGCAGGTGGATCATGAGGTCAGGAGATCAAGACCATCCTGGCTAACACGGTGAAACCCCATCTCTACTAAAAATACAAAAAAATTAGCCAGGCCTGGTGGTGGGCACCTGTAGTCCCAGCTACTCAAGAGGCTGAGGCAGGAGAATGGTGTGAACCTGGGAGGCAGAGCTTGCAGTGAGCCGAGATTGCATCACTGCACTCGAGCCTGGGTGACAGAGTGAGACACCATCTCAAAAAAAAAAAAAAGCAAGATTCTCCAAAAAAGAAAAGTCTGGGACCAGATGGCTTTGTGGTGGAATTCTGCCAAGAATTCAAAAAATTACTATCAATTTTTCTTAAATTCTATCAATGCAAACAAAGTCACCACAAGAAAAGAAAATGGCAAGACAATGTCACTGATAAATATAGAAATCCTCATTGAAATACCAGCAAACTGAACTCCACACATGTAAAAGATTATACATCATGATCAAGTGGTATTTATCTCTGGAATGCAAGGTTGGTTTGACATCCACAGATCAATCAACGTGATATACCACATTAATAGAATAAGAAAGAATGACAATCTGATAATCACAAAAGATGCAGAGAAGGCATTTGACAAAGTTCAACATAAAAATTCTCAACTTATTAAATATAGAAGGAAATGTCCTCAACATAATAAAGTTCATAAATGAAAAACCCACAGCTAACATTATAATTAAATACTAAAAGCTTTTTATCTGAAATCCAGTACAAGGCAAGGATGCATGTTCTTACCAATTCTATTCAACATAGTACTGGGAGTGCTAGCAAGAGCAGTTAGAGAAGAAAAAGAGATTTAAATGTATCCAAATTCAAAAGGAGGAAGTAAAATTCTTCCTATTTGCAGAAGACACGATCCTGTATGTCTGAAATTAGACTCCATTTAAAAAAACTATTAGAACTAAGAGATGAATTTAGTAAAATTGCAGAATACAAAATCAAAATACAAAATATTAGTTGTATTTCTTCACATCTATAATATCTATCCAAAAAGGAAATCAATAAATCAGTCCCCTTTATGGCAGCACCTAAAGAACAAAATACTTAGGAATATATTTTACCAAGGATATAAAAGATCTGTACACTAAAAACAGTAAGACATTGATAAAAGAAACTGAAGAATACACAAATAGATGAAAAGATATACACATTCATGGGTTAGAAGAATTAATGTTGTTAAAATGTCCATATGATACTAAGAGATACAACTGGTTTAATCCAATCCCTATGTAAATTCCAAAATATTCTAAAATTCATATAGAACTACAAAAGATCCCAGTTAGCCTAAACAATCTTAAGTAAGAAAAATACTTGCTTAAGATTATATTAAGTATTGTGACATTGCACTACCTGATTTCAAATTATGTTATACAGCTACAATAATTAAAACAGAATGAAGCTGGCATGAATACAAACATCTAGACTGAATAAAGAGCCTAGCCAGGTATTCTTCAACAAGGGCACCAAGAATACTTGTGGGGAAAGGAAATTCTCTTCAGCAAACAGTGTTGGGAAAACTAGACATTCAGATGCAGAAAACATGAACTTAGACCCTTATACCATACACACATGTCAACTCAAAGTAGATTAAAGATCTAAAAGTAAGACTTGATGTCTTAAAACTCCTCACATAAAATGTAGGGGTAAATCTCCTTGACAATGGCCTTGGCCATGATTTTTGGGGTATTACATCAAAAGTTCAGTATGCAGAATAAGAGAAAATATTTGCAACTATACATCTGATAAAGGTTAATATTAATATCCAGGATATACAAGGAACCTACACCACTCAATAGCAAGACAATAAATAACCAAACTAAAAAATGAAAAAATGACCTGAATAGAAATTTCTCCAAGATACATGTAAAAAAATAGTCAATAGGCATATTAAAAGGTGTTCAACATCATTAATCATCAGGGAAATGCAAATCAAAACCACAATGAAATATTACTTCACACCTGTTAGGTTGGCTTTAATTATAGCAATAAGAGATAAATGTTGGTGAGGGTGTGGAAAAAAGGGAAACCTAGTACACTGTTAGTAGTAATGTGAATTGGTACAATATTGTGGAAGACAGTACAGAGGATCCTCAAAAATTTGAAAGTTGAACTACCATCTGACCCAGCATCCCTCCACTGGGTATATACTCAAAGAAATTAAATAAGCACATAATCGAGTTATCTGCACTCTCATATTCATTGCAGCATTATTCACAACAACCAAGATGTGAGAAAAACATAAGTGTCCATTGATGGATGAATAGATAAAGAAATTGTGATACACACACACACACACACACACACACACACACACGGTAATTATTCAGCCTTTAGAAAGAAGGAGATCCATTCGCGACAGTATGAATGTACCTGGGGGATATTATGCTAAGTGAAATAAGTCAAGCACAGAAAGACAAATACTGCATAATGCCACTTACATGCAAAATGGAAAAGAAGTGAAATTATGAGAAATAAAGAGTATAACAGTGGTTACCAGGAGCAGGGATGAGAGAAATGGAAAGATGTCTCTCAAAAGTTATAAAGTTGCAGTTATACAGAATGAGTAAGCCTGGAGATCTAATGCACAGCCTGAGGACTACTGTTAACACTATTGTATTATATAATGGAAATCTGCTAAGAGTAGGTTTCAGGTACTCTTACTACACACACACACACACGCACGTGCACACACACACACACACTTAAAAGAACTCTGCTGGCTATACTGTCTAGGGTTTCTGTAAAATAATATTAAAAGGAAGCAGGTTGAGAAAAGCTCTCAAGCATCTCTCTCTATCTCAGTGTTATTTTCCCCTCAGCCTTTACTCATGGAAACAGTGACTTTCAAAACCCCCGTTTTGTTTTATTTTGCTTCGTTTTCCTATTTCTATACTTGCTCTGACAGATTTTAATGTGATGTCATATGATGTAATATAGGTGAAATATTAAGAATTTATCAAAAATGAAAAAGAAAAAAGAAACTTAGCAGTGTTAGTATTTAATGCTAAATATACCTATTAAGAACTTGCAGAACCACAATGTAAAGGAAACAATTATTTTCTGGGCATCACAACTGCCACAGTGAGGCCTTCAGATTTTGTATACCCGCTAGTATAATTCAAAGACTTCTGACAAAAGGTTGTGCCAATACTCATTAAAATAGTTAACTAGAAACAGTACATTTTATAAGCCAGTAAGAGCACGGTGGTTAATGTTAGCAATTGTTTTGCCATTTTAGTTGATTCATTCACTTAAAAATTTGTATTGAACCTCTAGCATTATGTTCCAGATAATGTTCTAGAAAATTGCAGTTAATCTGTGAAGAAACATAGATGAAATTTGCATTCTGGATTTTCATTTCTAGTTGTTGAGGTTTTCCGTTACAGTAACTTAAAGTGGGATTAAACTTAACATGTTTTTAGCTTCATAAAGAAGACACATTTTTGAAGATAACCTCATACCCTACCTTTTCAGAAAGTCAACCACAGAGTCTTCTATGCCGGTCTACAAACAGAAGAAACAAAGAGAAATGAAAGAGAGAAAAAAAAAACAATAATAAGACAAAAAAGGAAATAACACATTAACTTAAGGAAAGAGAAATACAAGACTAATTTTCTTATAAAATATTATACAAAATACATAATTTTCTTATAAAATACATTGGAATTTATAAGAAATGCATTCTTCTACTGAGGGCGTACTCTGTGTTAGACATTACATGAGGTCCTGGGATCAAACAGTGAGAAAAACATACTCTGCAACCTCATGGAGGGCACAGTCAGGGAAGGAAACAGGTATTCGTAACAGAAAAATATGAATCTATAAATATAAGCTGCAAACCATCCTGTTAAAAAATGTACAGGGAACTGGGCAGAAAGACTTCCCTACTGAAATGACATTTGAACTAAGCTCATGAGGATGGGAAAGAGAGGAGGTGATGCATTTCAAGCAAAGGAAATAGCAAATGCAAAACTCAGAGGTGGAGTACAACAAAGTAGTAGCAGGAGGAAGTTCAGCTGGAGTGCTGAAATAAAAAGAAGACAAATGAACTCAAAAAGTGAACTTCGGTTTTTGATGATACACTCAAAAATTGAAAGTATGTAATGGATAGAGAGTAGAAGTGTTTTCGTAAGTGTTACTCTACTTTCTATACATTTTCTTTTTATTTATTTATTTATTTATTTATTTAATTTTCCTACAATCTGGCAAGTAATGAACATTTGCACTCACAGGTCTCTCATTGGTTTATCAATTACCTTAGTGATACCCAATTTCATCACATGCATGTCCTGATTCCAGATCCATATTCTTAAAAAACGCTGATTGTTAGAGTAAGCCATCTTATAAAGGCACCTACTTCCTGTTTAGGTGGCAGTAGCAGAATTTTTATTTTACTAGTATTTACAAATTAAAATCTTAGTTCAAAAAGATTATAATGTCTACATGGCAATCGTCTGCCTGCATATACTTATGCATATGGAAAAATGGGGAATTAGAGCTTGAGAAAGTGGTTGATCCTTCGGGTAGCTTTTGCTAGACAGGAAAACTGATTCCATCCCTAAGGTGCTCTTCAAAGAGTGAAGTCAGAGAGTTGAATAGGAAATGAAGTGAATTTCAGTGACCCTCGCTGGCCTGAACCACAGGAGCCAGTAAACACAGGATTTCCACTCTATGTGTAGCTTTCTTTTGTGGAAGCCCCTTGGCTATATTTTCACAGGCAAGTCTTTCCCCCTGAAAAAAAATTATTTAGTATACTGATATGTAATGTACACAACAGCTTTAATTATCATATATTAACACGTTGATTTTAATTATTACTGTAACAATTGGGGGGCAGTGTGTAGTTTCAGAAATAAATTTGAAATAGAGTCCAAGCAGGTCATGCAATTTCCTTTGGGTTTTATTAGTGATAAAACTACAAGTTCTTCACCCAGGTCTCCTTGAAGAATGATATAAAATATAGCTTTCATCCTATCCTATAATTTTCTGTGTAATGGAGGTGCTTCTTTTGTCACATATCAGAAACAATACTCAGGCAAAGAGATGATGAACACAGCCATATCATGATGTCATACAAGAGAGGTTTGACCTTGTCACCTAGATCCATTTTCATTTTGTTCCAGAAACTTTACTAACACTGATAAAAGGTTTAACTGTCATCCCATGGCTGTCCCTAAAATTATATGTATATGAACATACTATAAAACTGGACTATACCCATATAAAGGCACATCATGGCAGTAAAATTGCGACATGATCAAGCATCATATCCTTGTAAAGATTTTTTTGTGTTTTGCTTTTCTGTAACTAGAGATCTCTTGATCTTTCAAAAGAACTCTCAATAAATAATAAATAATTGCCTATAGTTTTACTAACATTGGACATTGGATTGCCTTTTTATTAACAATGAGGAAACAACTCAGGTTAAATTAGCATATGCACACTTAGTTAAAGAGATTAAAAAGGTTGAAGAGGCTGCTGTTTCAAAGCATTTAAGGAAGTGATCATACAGTCTTGATTTTTTAAATGTTTATATTTTGAATTCAATCTTAGAAAATGTAGTTCGAAGACACAAGACTTAATGTCAAGAAAGAACTTAGAAGAAAGCCTAGGATTTCTGATTCTGACCATGACAGAAGAAAAATTATTAGAGTAGGCTCCCTTTAGAAACAATTCTTATACTAGATAATGTATATGAAACAACTGTTGTCAGATGCTAGACAACAGGCAACAGAGTGGAGACTCACAAGGTGACTGCTTCAATATCTGTCACTTTCTGCCTGAAGGAACTTACCGGGCTACAGTGTAGGGAGGTGAAGCTCAGGCAGAGTGTGATGGTTACCCTGAGGGGAGGAGCCCAGGTTACAGTGTCAGGCTGCAGAGGTGGCTGGAACATGAGGGGCAAAATACCCAGAATAGCCAACTCAATTTTGAAGGAGAGCAAAGTCTTTTGGGCGGATGCTATCTGCCTTCAAGTCTTACCATAAAGCACAGTAATCAAGATAGTGTGGTATTGGTGAAAGACAAATAGATTGATGGAACTGGATACAGAAACCAGAAAGAGATCCACTGAAGTCAACTGATATTTGACGAAGGAACAAGGCAATGCAATGGAGAAAAGACCTTCTTTTCAATAAAAGGTGCTGGAACAACTGGACACCCACATGCAAAAAATAACAACAGACCTTATACCCTTCATTTGAGTTCCTTCAAAAAAAGGAACTCAAAATGGATCACAGTCATAAATGTAAAACACAAAGCTATAAAACTCCTAAAAGATAACATACAAGAAAATCTAGATAACCTTGGGTTTTATGACTTTTTAGATACAGACAGAATCAAAGGCATGATCCATGAAAAAAGTAATTAATAAAATGGATTATTTTACATATTGTATATGGATGCTTTAATGCTATAATGTCAGAATTGAATAGTGTGACAGAGATCTACCAGCCATATAAAACACAAAGACTAAAATATTTACAATCTGGCCCTTTACAAAAAAAAAAAAATTGCCTATCCCTACTTTACACAATTAATTTTTCTCAAAGAGTGGGCCTCTGACTTAAAAAAAAAAAAAGGTTTAATTCCAAGCTCTTACTCTTTATGTAATATCAGACAAATTATTTAGATTGTCTGGATATGTTCATTCAGATAGATTGACGGAGAGACAGAGAAAACTAAATGAAAAGGCACAGTTTGCAAATCATGTTTCCTGTTTGAGGATTATTTGAGAGATGGACAATTGATACATATATTATGAAAAAAAAGTATGTAAAATGACTTTTGCAAATAATGGTTTAAAATAAATACCTTAAAGTGAAATGTATTCAATCCCACTGACTTTCAATGCTATGAACTTCCAGAGAGGAAAACTGTATGCAGGGTCTGAAAGCCACCTCTGTAACCCCTGTTGTCATTTTAGTATCAAACTATTCTGCCTCCCATGTTTTATTAATGGTGTGAACTTGGGCAAATGATTTACCCTTTACAAACATATTTTGCCATCTATAAAATGGGGAGTACAATAGTACACGCCTTGCAGGGTTATTTTGAAGATTAAATGACCTAAAATATATGCATCATAGTAGGGCACATGACAAACACTCACAAAAATGAGTGTTATCTTTTCTTTCTTCTCTTGTACACCTTCTTACCCCACCCCTTGCACCATTTCTTGACCCCTCTTTAAATGCTCAAAAAATTATCAGCTATTTGCATTCGAATATTTTATCCTAAAGATATTAACTAAGTATTGCTGTTTGATGTGCCCTTCCTTTAACTATTAAATATCTCTAAACTACTAGAGGGAAAAAAACAATCATTTTATTCTTTGGGTCACAGTAACTCATTTTTTTAAGGCTAATCCTTTACTTAATTTAGGAAAATTTTGATTTTCCCCTGTCAAGAAGTCTTATTTATTTTTTTAAATTATATGCTACATTAACATACGGCAGGACTTACATTTTGGAGTTTGACCTCTGGAAAGTCAAATTAAATCTCTTAACACAGAATTCTTATTTATAGGATTCATCATTTTGATAAGAAAGAGAAGTCTCATATAGGACAACATAATGCTGAATAAGAAATCTTGAAAGTAAATGCTTTAGAAGGGAATCGATGCAGTTGTAATTCTGCACAATAGAGTGGTCAAAGTAGGAGTTCTTAGAAAACAATGTGGTTATTTAAATTCCACCTTGAAAACTGAGTGACAGTTTGCCCAGGGAACTATTGTGTTCTAAATTCCATCGCAAGACAAATCTTGCCTTCCCACAAGCCACTGAAAAGCCTTTTATTTTGTCATCTTCTTCCAAAGGCTCCTCAAAATCTTCCCAACAAACCAGGATTTTCTGCCATAAGAAACAAAGGCTGTGTTTTTAAAGAAAAGGAATATATCCTGTCCCTCAAACTAAGCTTCATGACAATGAAAATTCAAGTCATTTCTCAGCAATTTCAGAAACTAAACAATCCAAACACTTTTTAAAATGTTGTCTTACACCGAATCATTTTAATTTCTTTATTCTTACCCTCTTTGTTGTCAGCTGTTCCACAAAATAACTACTTAATGCCTATCATAAAAGTAGACTTTGCTGGCTAATAAAATCAGTGACACACTGTGAAACTCGCCTAAGAACCCATGTTTAAGGGCCATCTACTTAATCTGAACTTCCTAAATATGCACATAATTTTTAGAATAATTATATTTTAGAAGCCACTCTCAGAAATAATCTCCCTAACAAAAACACTAGAAACAGCTTAGAAAAGGTCTTATATAACATACTAATGTAAACACCTACACAACGTTCACATACACTCACACACATACACAGGGTGCTTAAGGCTATTTCGTACTTTCATTAAAAAATAGATTCATATTTTTGCTCCTGAGATCTATGACATACTTTGAAAAAACCATTAAGAACTTAAACACAATTGTATTTTGTAAGTTACCCAAAGCTAACTCCTTTCCCAAAGTCACTGCACATTTCCACAGGGCTCTGGCT